GTCTCTTTGCCAATAATATGCAAATTTAGGTCAAACAAAACGAAAATCACCAATACAATTGATAACTTGCAAAAGCAACAATTCGACAACATTAATTTATGCATAAAAATCGATGCATATTTAATTTCGTGCAAAAAATAAAATAAGATAAAAAACAAGTAAGCAAAGGCTACAGTCGAGCGGGGCCGACCGTTGAATACCCTACAACACTATAATAAACGATACAGTTTATATAGGCGAGATACTCGAAAGAATTCCACAAGATATTGTGACAGATAATAAAAGAAAACCATTAGGTTTTTTTTCTCTAATTTTCGGATAATAGCAACTTAAACGAATTTGCTCATTTCCAATTTATTGGTAGATGTTGCACTTAAATGGTCTTCCTAGATCTGGAACCAATATTTCCCAAAGAACTATAACCTCTCAGAAGTGGTAAATTATGAACATTTGTTATTGGTTTTTGACTGAAACGCATCTATATGAGATACAGACATTTGACTATGTTCTTCAACGAAATCAGCGTTAACGAAATAGTCGGAAGTGCGTCTTTCCTGTATTTGTAAATTCTCCAAAAAGTCACTGGAATGGACTTTTTCGTATTTTGTCTACAAAAGTTGGCAAACTATTTCATACATTGAATATTTTTGGATGGCCATCCAAAACTGCTTGACTTTTGCAATGTTCGGTAAACCCCATTCAAATGTGTGTGAGGATCGGGCGATAATTGCGACCTGCTGACAATTTTGCTGTTTTTTGGTCCATTTCAACCCCTAAATATTTTGCGATCATCTCCAAAAAGAGTAGGCTTCTATTCTTACCCTCATCTGATCCCCATGCAAAATTTTGTTAGGATCGGGCCATAAATGCGATCTGTATATGATATCCTGATATCCTAACTACTTAGTTTTGTTAGCTGTAGAAATATTACCAAATGTGTAATTTAAAATGAAAATATGACAAAAATATGACAAAATTGAAAAAATATGAGAAAATTTACAAAATCAATATTTTCATCTTTAGAGAGATATTTTTATGCGATTTTTTAGACGTTTTTTCTTTTCTGCCAAGAGGCCATTCTGAATTAATGAGAACTGTCGAAATCAGTTCAGCCGTTCTCGACATATTAGAGATCTTTCAAGCATATCTTCTTTGATAGACATATATATCGCACATATTTTGCTATATATCCGATTTGTTGAATGTTAACATCAATGTAAAGATCAGATGTAACCTTGTCATGGCTTTGTGATTTCGCCGGGATTAAAAATATTCGCGGTTTAATGAAAAATTTTGAATTTTTTCAACACAAAGTATATGGTCTATTTTAACCGCTAAATATTATCCGATGACCACCCAAATTGGTAGGCTTCTTCCCCGCCCTAAACTCTAGCTACATGCGAAATTCCGCGTCGATTGGTCTATAATTGCGACCTGTATAGCTACTGCAAAATCCGACATTTTTTCAGTATTTGGTCCATTTCAAACCCCAAACATTTGGCGATCATCTCCAAAAGAAATAGGGTTCTATTCTGACCTTAACCCCACCTACATTTTAAATTTCGTGAAGATCGGGCCATAATTGCGACCTGTAGAGTGATTACAAATTAACATGGACAGACGGACAGACGGACGGACGGACATACATAGCTAGATCGACTCAGCTCGGCGAGCTAGGAAGATCCATATATACTTTCCTATATGGGAAACCAATATTTCGTGGTGTTACATAAATTCTGGCCCAATCAAACTTATAATACCCCCAACACATAGTGTTGTAGGGTATAAATATAAATATAAATGAATCAGTGTTTCCGATGATCGCTGCAAAGGCAATGACCAAATCAAACAGCTATTATAAAAATGTATAACAACATATGCCAAATTTCCATACCATGCTATGGTATTTTTAGTTAAAAAAATACGAAATATATATTTGACGGCAAGATCGGCAACATAAAAATACATTTACTCAAGAAGTTTCTTTTGTCTTATCTGTAGACAAGTAAGGGAGGACATATGGCTGTGGAATTTTTATCTATCTAACTATCGATTGAAACGGTTCTTCATGGCCTTGAATGACCTTGAACCACAACCACTATGGGTGGTTAATGTCGGAGATTTATATGCAAATGGCCATTTTTGTTTTGCCATCGTCATCTTTTGCATCAAAAAAAAAAAAAACAGCGATCTTCGATTTGTTTTGATTGTTTATATTCAGATTTTGAAGAAACTTTTCTTCAGCGTCCATTGTCTTCAATAGAACACAATGGAAAGTTGTGGAAAAACAATGCAAATTTAATTTTGAGATTAAAAGTTATTATTTAAGGAAATACATTTGAAGGAGATTCAAGGCAGTTATGATCAAATGGAACTCAAGGAGTTTTTCTGAAAATTATAAAAAAATATGTCTTCCTTTTTGGAACATAGTAGTGTTAAATTCTTAGATGATGTAGACTTGCCTTTTTGTGTCTCTCTCTATGTTTCCAATAAATTTGAATCGGGCGTCAATATTTTAGTAAAATGTTGCCATTTGTTTTCAAATTTGAGTGTTAGCTATGTCGGATTTATATTGAATATTTTTGTAATACGACATTCTAGTTGTAATACGACATTCTGGAAAAATGGAAACTCGATCCACAAAAATGTGTGTTATTTGAGAGTTCGGTCAGAACTTTGATTTGCTCCATATTTTATTAAAACAATGTAGGAATATTTAAGATGGGGTCATCAAGAAAAAATCTCTCAGTTGTCTGTAATTCCGTCTATTTGGACAGCTGATACGCACGATAATTCATGAGGGAAAAATATAGTTCCACTTCTTTTATAACATAAAAATCATGTCTCATAGAAAACGAAGGAAGCTCCCTATTTTGGCTAAAACTTCGTATTTCATAATATTTTTGCCATGTAGTTCAGATATGAAATTTGAGATAATCGGCTAAATCCTTCTTATACCTCCATCACAAAAGGTCAACATTTCAAAAAAAAAAAAAAATCAAGGCTTTCGGAAAGAACCCAAATAAATTCATAATTTTCGCACAAAGAAATATTTCCGACAATCTTACATAATTTAGATCCTATTTCGGGCTCCTCCCACATAAGTAGAACTTAAAAAATATCTCATATACCGCATGTGAAGTAACCCTTTCTGGTATCTTCACATGAAATGTTATGATTTTCAAACATAATAACTCTCATAAAACCTAAAACTAGGGCCCGACATTCTTCAAACTTTGCAAATATTAGAGCTAAGTCAAAGACGGGATATTTCCCACACAAAGGGTCAGAATCCTTAAAATTAATCAATCACATACAGATAAATCCAAGTCAATTACAATACTTGCGATCTAAGACAAAAAAATCGGTCCTTCGGAAACTCACCCCTGGGAGGAGGATATTAAAAAAACCAATGTACAATGGACCCACATCAGAATTTTCAGTCCAAAACTTTTTCAACGTCTCCTTGTGTAAAAACTAGGAACCAACAGTGACCTTAATATCAAATTTCGAGATTCCAGCTCTATTCCTTCAAACAATACCAAATTAAGTTACATTTAGTACAAATTTGAGGAGGATAAAATTTTATATCGATTTAACGATGGTCATCCGTCTGTCTGTCCGTCTGTGGCAACCATTCTAGCTTCCAAACGAATTGAAATAGGTTGATAAAATTTTACTCAAATATGTCTACATAGGCCCACGTTCAGTTATTGTTTACTGGATCTGTTTCGAAACTCGTATTTGAAGTTCGTAATGGGTTCTACAGTCTATGGCAGAAAATTGTCTATGAAGGTCCAGGTATTCGTATAGCCCCCATACAACGGTACCTCCCTATATCCGGTATTTTGATGTTTTTAGTGACACTATCGACCGGAATTGTTTCAAATTTCGTATTTGAAGTTCCTAATGAATACTTCAAGCTATGACAGAAAAGTTTCTATGCAGGTTCAGGTCTCCTAATAGCCCCCATATATAGGATCTGTTTCGAATTCCGTATTTGAAGTTTGTAATGGGTACTACAGTCTATGACAGAAAATTGTCTGTGCAGGTCCACATTTTGGTAAAGCCCCCATTTAACGGTACCACCCTATTTTCGGTATTATTATGATTTTGGTGACACTAATCACCGTAATTGCTTCAAATTTCGTATTTGGTCCCTAATGGGTATTACAGTCTATGGAAGAAAATTATCTATGCAGGTGCAGATTCGTGTAGCCCCCATATGACGGTACCCCTATATTCGGTACTTTGCTGATTTCATGTATGTATTTAACGGAATTGTTTCAAACTTCGTATTTGAACTTCGTCATAGGTACTACAGTCTATGACAGAAATTGTCTATGATGGCTCAGGTTTTCGTATAACCCCTACATATCGGTAACTCCCTTTATTCGGAATTTTTAACGGATTTTACTTTTTATTTATTTATTATTTTTTTTTTTTTTGAAAATTTCCAAGTTTGTTCCAAACGTTGATTTTAGATCAGTCAGTTGAGTAAATGACAATGTGTCTACATTTTATGTAGGGCTCAAAAGACACTCCGATAAGTCGCAGATTCTACTGTTTATGTCACTTTTTTCGATTAAATTAAAAATAGTTATATATTTATTTTTATTTTGTATATATATATATATATATATATATATATATTTTTTTTTTTTTTTTGATTTTATATAGTACTTAGAAACATTCACCCACCACAATTTTAACATTAAGAATTCACATATTGTAATCGTTGTAATGTTAAATTGCATTTTGCAACAATTTGCACAATATTAAGTTTGATATACTCCCATGTAATAGTAAAGTCTCGTAAGGTGTTTTTCAAAAAAAAATTTTATTTTCAAAAAAAATTATTTTCATAATTTTTTAAAAACTGATTTATTCTTAATTATTTTTGCGATGCACTCACATTTTGTCCATTTTCTGTCCTGCATATGTATATACATTTTTACAATTTAATTAAATCACAATATTCGTTGACACTTGCAACTCACCTTTATTTTGTTGTTGGTTTTTTTTTTGTTTTCACAACCAACCAAGAAAAAAAAAATAATCCAAAATCGTAGTCAGCTGGGCAATAAACTTCCTTTCCGAAAATTGGTATTTCTATTTTTGTATTTAGCAACAAAAATTCCACTTAATGCACATGTGGTCGTAACTAAGCTTAAGATGTTGCATTAGTTATTTAGTTATTTTTTAATGATAATAGTTCATTTATTAATTTTTTGCTCCTTTTTTTTCTTCTTTGATTGACACTATGCAGGCAAGTTAATGGATCTGGTTTACAGGCATTTGCAAAATCACACACACGCACACACCGCAATTGAGAAATGTAAATTTTCGAACAAGACACGCATTAGCAAAAGCTCGTATCGGACCGAAGAGACATCGCACACTGTATTGCCAGAATTTTGATTTGAATACTTTTATAATTATGGGCAATGCGCCTCAATATATCCATATAATTTCGTTGAAATTTCCTTTGCTTGTATCCGCCGCAGCACTCGCACTCGCCAAATGACAACCTGTTCTATATAACATAACACACATTTATTTGTAGTTTTTTTTTTTTTTATTGACTCCTCCTTTATTCGGCTTTGGGCTTGTTTGGGATCTCCATTCATTCATAAAAGATGATAATTAATTTATTTTATTTTTCTACGGTTGGTTGATTAGAATCACTTTTCGGGCACTGAATTGGAGGGACTTTTTCTGCGACACTTTTCTCATTAAACATTTATTGTTGACCTCTTTTTTATTTTTAAATATTTTTTTATTTATATTTTATTTTTAAGATTTTTATTTTAAATCACAAGAAAAAAAATAGATATTATTATTTTTTTTTTAGTTTTATCATGCACCACAATGCTATGCCACTATAACATTACAATAACAATAAATTGCAAGTGAACGCGCTCGCGAGCATGTCTTATTTCCCGGACTTATCACAACGAAATGAAAAGCTCGCTTAAACCCATCGCCACAGATGCTAGACGTTTTTGTTACAAATCCCAGTGTGCGCTTTAATTTTTTTGAGCTAAGTTAAAGTGTAAAAGCCGAACTAAAGTCGCTGAAAGACATACCCACAACAACACACATACTCACACACACACACAGTTACTGAACAACAAGTGGCTTAACATTGCCACCACACCGCACAACGACGGTAAATGTTAATTAACAGAGCGGTGTTAACTCTTTATTACAGCAAGCAACTAAATCGATATGACTCTTGTATAGTTATATATATTTTATTCTCTAAACAAATAGATAGCAATTGAGTAAATCACATTGTTTATGCCTGGATCGTAGATGCAAAACAAAAGACTTAAGACACAAACTCAATGGAAATACATTGTTGTTTTTCGCCTCCACTCAACGCACGGCTGTTGCTGTGGTGAGTTTGTCTCGTTTTCCGGTGTTAAACGTCTGGCTTCGGGGGAAATACAAAACATAACATTGAATGAAAAGCTGTTGCCATAAGAAGTCGATGACGTTCGTTGTCATCTTCCTGTTCTGCAACTTGTTTTGTTTACTTTGTTCAATTACAGGTATTTTTCTAGAACCTCGCCAACAACTTAAGGTTCCTGACTACGAACCAGCATGCAGGTTTGTTCGATTGTCCTAACAAAAAAAAATTTAATATTCATAACATTTTTATTCATTTGGTCCGAAACAAATAACAATGATATCGCCATTAACTTTCGCAAAATTTCGTCTAGGGTACATGTGGGACTCAAAATATCAAAAAATCTATCAAAATCTAATCCAATTTTCGGTAATAATAAAAAATTGGTCCGGAAAAAATCTCATATAAACCTAAACCAGTAAGGAAAGCTCAAAAGTCGGGCGGGGCCGACTATATGATACCCTACACCACTATGCATATTTAGTAGAGCTCTCGTAAAAAGGTTTATACAGAGCATTTCAGAGCTCTATGGGATATTTGGTACAAAATCAAAATCTATATAATTCTATCGTGCATTTTACGAACTATAGCTATATCGGAACCGATTTTCACCAAGTTTGATGTATTTGATTCTAGGCTGAATTCGGTCAGATGTGCCAAAACCCAGGGCATTTGGGCTGATATTGGACATTTGGTGCGCAATCAACACGAAATTGGATGAAGATATATATAGGAGGTATATCCAAATCTGAACCGATATTTGTAAAACTGAAAAAGAAGATATTTCTTGGCTGCATCTGATACCAAATATTATTCTTGTATCGTACATTTTTCGAATTTGAGGGACTTAAAGTACAAATCGGATGAAAGGTATATATAGGAGCTATAGCTGTATCCGACCGATTTTCAATAAATTTGATGTACTTGCTTCTAGACTACCAAAAGTCAGGTCATTTGAGCCGATATTAGCCATTTGCTGCACATTTAATCCGAAATCGGATGAAGATATATTTGGGAGCTATAGCTATATCTGAAACGACTTTTTACTAAAATTGGTGTCCTTGCTTCTAGGCTGAATTTGGCCAGATATGCCAAAATTCATGCCATTTCGGTTGATATTGGCCATTTGTTACACAATTAACACGAAATCGATTGAAGATACATATGGGTGCTATATCCAAATCTGAACAGATTTTGATAAAATTAAAATAGGCTGGTTTCGGTCGGATTTGCCAAAATTCATGCCATTTGGGCTGATATTGGCCATTTGATGCACAATTAACACGAAATCGGATGAAGATATATATGGGAGGCATATCCAATTCGGAACAGATTTTAATAAAATTAAAATCGACTATTTTTGGGCTTTATCTGATATCTGGTACCAAATATCATTCCTGTGGAGTGGATATTACGAATGTGAGGGATTTAAAGACGAAATCGGATGAAACATATATATGGGAGCTATAGCTATATCTGAACCGATTTTTACTAAAATTGGTGTACTTGCTTATATGCTGGTTTTAAAACAGCTATTCCTGTGCTCCATCTAATACCTGGTACCAAATATCACGGTTGTGGAGTGAATATTACGAATGTAAAGGACTAAAACACTGAATCGGATGAAACATGTATATGGTTGCTATATCTATATCTGAACCGATTTTCACTAAATTTGATATACTTGCTTCTAGGCTGAATTTGGTCCGATGTACTAAAATTCAGTCCATTTGGACTTATATCGGCCATTTGGAGCACAATTAACCCGAAATCGGATGAAGAGATATATGGGAGCTATATCCAAATCTGAACCGATTTTCTCCAAATTTGTTGTATTTGCTTTAAGGCTAATCTCGGTCACATGTGCCAAAATTCGGTCCATTTGGGCTGATATTGGCCATTTGGTGGTCAATTAACCCGAAATCGGATGAAGATATATATGGGAGCTATATCCAAATCTGAACCGATTTCGATAAAATTTAAAACAGCTATTCCTGTGCTCCATCTAATACCTGGTACCAAATATCACGGTTGTGGAGTGAATATTACGAATGTAAAGGACTAAAACACTAAATCGGATGACACATATATATGGTTGCTATATCTATATCTGAACCGATTTTCACTAAATTTGATATACTTGCTTCTAGGCTGAATTTGGTCCGATGTACTAAAATTCAGTCCATTTGGACTTATATCGGCCATTTGGAGCACAATTAACCCAAAATCGGATGAAGAGATATATGGGAGCTATATCCAAATCTGAACCGATTTCGATAAAATTTAAAACAGCTATTTCTGTGCTACATCTAATACCTGGTACCAAATACCTGGCACCAAATATCAAATATATGGTGTGGAGTGCATAGTAGGAATGTGAGGGACTTAAAGATCAAATCGGATGAAAGATATATATGGGAGCTATAGCTATATCTGAACCGATTTTCTCCAAATTTCATATACTTGCCGATGGGTGTGCCGAAATTCAGGTAATTTGGACTGACAGTGGACATTTGGTGCACATTTAACCCGAAATCGGATGAAGATATATATGGGAGCTATATCTAAATTTGATCCGATTCTCACCAATTTCAATAGGGTTCGTCCTTGGGCCAAAAAAATATTGTTTGGAAAATTTCATCTCAATCGGATAATAAATGCGACCTGCATTTTGTTCACAAGAATACATGGACAGACGGACGGACGGACAGACGGACGGACGGACGGACAGACGGACGGACGGACAGACGGACTGACATGCATAAATCGACTCAGAAAGTGATTCTATGAAGGTTCTCAAAAGTAACAATGGGTCTATCTCGTTTCCTTCTCCATGTTACAAACAAATGCACAAAGACATAATACCCTTACCACTATGTGGTGAAGGGTATAAAAACAGTATCTAAAATGTACATACCCTTCGCCATTTGGAAAGAATTTTGACATTTTCAACAAAAAAAAAAAATAAATAAAAAAATAAAATAATAATAATAATAATAAAAATAAATAAATAAAAGACCAGTAAGGAAAGGTCAAAAGTCGGGTGGGCCGACCCTTCACCATTTGGAAAGAATTTTTAAAATTTCAAAAAAAAAAACAAAAAATAACAATAATAATAATAATAATAATAATAATAATAATAAAAGTCCAGTAAGGAAAGATCAAAAATCGCGTGAGCCGACCACTTTGCGTATTTAATAGAGTTCCCTTAACAAACTATGAATCAACTATGAACCTTATTTCAATGTGCATCATGGCTTTGGAGTAATCACAATTAGGAACTATATCCAACTCTGAATCGGTTTTCAACAAATTTGAAGGAAGCTTTTGTACCCCTAGTACCGTCATGCTGTATGGTGCATGATATGACTTCGATGAGAATTATATTAAAAAATATTTATTGTAGATATACCAGACGAAGTTTCGCCAAATAGAAAAATTCGGTTGAATGTGAAAAAATCCATTCAAAATCTAAACAGAACTCGATAGAATTTTGACAGAGGTATTTCCAAGCTGTATCTGATGTCCGATGTCAAATATCATTGCTGTGGAGTCCATATTACGCATATTAGGGACTTTAACACCAATGCGGCTAAAACATATATCTTAACCGATTTTCACCGAATGTACTTGCTTCTAGACTGAATTCCATCGGAAGCGCCAAAATGCAGTCCATTTGGACTTATATTATTCATTTGGTGCACTATAAACATGAAATCGGATAAAGATATATGTGGGAGCTATATCCAAATCTGAAACGATATCGATAAATTTTGGCAGAGATATTTCTGAGATGTATTATATGTATTTCTGCTCCAATATCGTTGTTAAGAAGTGCATATTACGGCTATGGAGGAGAAATTTAATAAACCGAATAAGGAATATATATATGGGAGCTATATATACAAATTTGACACATTAGTTTCTAGACTTAATTTGATTATTTGAGTATTTGAGCTAATACTACGAATTTGGTGCACAAATTTGGACGAAGATATATATGGGAGCTATATCTACATTTTGACCGATTATCTCTTGGATCAAACGAATGGTTTGTGCAAAGTTTCATTTTTACAACCTTTACTTTATTTACAAAAAAATCGTCGACAGTCGGACGTACGGATATGCTTAAATCCACTCAGAATGTGATTCTATGCAAATCATCAAAAGGAATTATGGGTCTAAATCGATGCCTTCTCTATGTTATAAATGTACAAAGATATAATGCGTGGTGTAGGGTATAAAAAATGAACCGGAAAATCTGATATCAAGTTAAAAAGCACTAATTTCGACAGGGCCAAAATGTGAATATTTCGAAAGAATTTGAAGAATTTTGAAAAAAAAAATCCCACGAAAATTCTGTTAAAATCTTAACAAATAACGGGGGTTACCGTTTCATTGTGATCTATACGATGAAGTGAACATATGCCATTATAATACGAAACTTGAAACAATTCCGGTGAATAATGTGGGAAAAACATTAAAATACTGAATATAGGGAGATACCGTTATATGGTTGCTATACGAAGGCCTGGACCTGC